AGCTCATTTGTCGGCTCCATAACATCAATGCTGTCAATGTTCAGTGAATTTGTCTGTTCAAAGATGTTTTGAATAAATTCAAGCCATCTTTCATTCTGTACATCTCCGTTCGAGAATACTTCGCCATCTTTCTTCGATCTTCAATAGATGTGTTGCCATTGCTCAGGCTTCCGATCAATTCGTTAACGTCAAAAGATTTCAAATCGCCAGGTTCAGCAGCATGAGATGCTGATGCTTCCCTTTTCGTTAGCCTCACTTGTCTTCACAACTTTTGACGAGGCTATTCGAGACATTTTTTTAGTTCATTTCATTTTTAGGTTGCTCTCTCTGAAGTCTCACATGTTTCCTCCATTTGTCTTCTGCTGGACGCTTTATTGCTTTATTCATTCATAATGTTGCTTGGGTCTATTGTTCTTCACATTTTCAGCGACTTCGAGAACAATCTTCTGCACAACACAATCCTGGAATTTTTTGGGACGAACGTTCATTCCTCTTTCAGGCTCTCACAGTAGCTTACAATAGGTCAAAGCACTTTTGCGATTCCGCTTTTGCAAAACTTGTTACGATGGCGTGTCAGCTTTTCCGCGGCGCGCACTAACATTGATCGTTCACCTTTTTTTCCAACTTGAACCTAATTTCATGGTCCATTAAGTGATTATCTGCACCTGTGCCCGAGCCCGTTATTGGTGTGTCTGATGGGAAAAACGCTACTTGTGTCTGGCTTATAATTGGCTCGTCCGTGGGTTCGGATCTTCCACTTGATGAGGGCCGCTGTAGAAGCTGATGAGATGAGAGTGTCAATTACATCGTGTTTACAATGGCGAGACAACGTGATCGAAGGTCGGTCATCGCGGCTTCACGTGACTCCTAACACTAATGACAAACCACACCATAACAACTGTAACCACCTATCGTGGTGCCTATTGAGGTCATCTGCGACATTAATAGCTTCTTGTGGTACCACTTCAGCTGCCTTCTGATCGAGTAAGCTTCAGCACTCTCTCTTCCTTCATAAGAGCAGTTAGTTTGTGGATTGCAGACAGTGGAAATGTTGTATTCTTGGCGTTCAAGAACGACGGCAATCTTCATCAGGAGGTACTTGACGCGGGCTACACTACATATAGAATCGCAACACGTTTGAAGACTGTTCCAAAACCTTTGGTGGTTTTATAGCAACCCCGACACCGACAAGTAGAGACACTGGCCGTACTTTCAGGACCATAATTTGCAGTTGCCTCCGAGACCGCTGGTGGTTTGGAGCAGCTGCAAGGAATGAATACAAAAATACTGCCAGTGAGTATACCCACAGCAGCGCAGACCATCTCACTTCCCGCATAACACGGAATCTATTCGTCTACGCTGTAGCACACCTACTAGCTCGCTTGAGCGCCAACATTCTTCACTAATGTGTCTCACCTGCATCGAATGTCCAGCTCAGCCAACCAAGACGAGCGCTTCAAAGTGGCGCCTCGTGGAGTCGCAAACAACACCACCATAAATATTCGATCATTCATGCGTGAGTGAATCAAGTTAAAGTCATAATCGAATAGAGACACTTTGATCTGATTACCTGTTCATGCAGAACGCAGGACTTTGATGGCAGGAGTTGGATACAATGTAGCTCATGCCGGTCTCGATTTCCTACATTATTATGAGCCACCTAAATGAATTCATTCTCAGCAACAAAGATAAGGGCTCAGGGGTTCACTAGAAGAAAGGGCGCCGGTTGCTTCGCACTGACACGGGAAGTGACAGAATGGCAACATTGCGGCTGAGAGTGGTCAAATGGTGTGCCGTTGAAGAGTCGATTACAATATCGAATACCTTAGGGCTATTGGATCTATGATATACAGCATGCCATACCAACCTTATCGAGCCTGGAACTTCCAAATTCACATACCAACCCTCCAGGTCACGCAACCCACAAGGGACAAAATTCATCATAATGTGTTTATCTGAAGAGTAATGAATTAATTCAGTTCATTGTTGAATACTGGTAATTCACTTGACGATTCTTCCTTACCTGACCACCAATTTTTTGCACGTTATCATATCAGTGTTGTTACCAACTATTTTTCTTTGCTTTTTTTTCCAAAATATAATAGTTGATAACTCTGTAGCAAACATTGGTAAAATTTCGAAGTGGAAAAAATTACCAGTAGGCCATGAAGTGAAAACGAAACAACTTGTATACCAACCGTTCTGTATTCTTTGCCGATTACGGTAGCATTTATTAGAGCGATACTCTAGAGTTTCCAAAATCCAGTGGACATCTTTTGAGAACAATCTTCGTATTTACAACAGGATTCTCTATATGTTTTTATTCTTTCCATGTAAAGGAATAGTTGGCCGTTCATCCCTCATTGTTTACCATCCGTCCTCGACAGTACTGCCGCATCTCTATATTTGACACTATGTAACTATCATTATTAGAAGGCGTCATCGACGTAAAAGCAACGAAGAAATCGTTTCCCTTCGCAATGTGTCAATGGGATGGGGCCTGTACTATGTGCTAGGGTTCATTACTAGTGTACTAGTAGTGGTCCATATCATGAAGGATAGATGGATGAAGTCTTAATTCTCAAAAAAGTATCCCAAGTCGAAGTGGCCATTTGAAATGAGACCTATACTGCTATATGTATTTCCGCGTGCTCATTTCGAATCTGTTCTCCAGATTTGTCAAGTGATTCTCCTGCTATGAAGGAAAGTATCAGGTGGTGCTTAGTATAACACTAATCACCAATACTGTTTTGGAGCATCACTCCCAAATGTAGGGTGGTGGTTTTGCGGAGAAGCTTTATGTGTGTCATAGAACTCTTTTATTTCCTCGGTTACTGACAATATAAAGTCTGACAATAAACAACATTGCGTGAGTGTGACAATACAACATTACTAAAGACATTTTACATCACATCGTCATTAAGGCTACCAGGCTACCTGAGTCTTGTTGAACTTGAATCTTGTTGATCGTTGAGCTGACTTTGAGTATCCGTACCTTTCGCTCACCTACGTCTTCGTGGGTCCACCTGCATATGAGACTGGCAGCCAGACCATCCCCGGCTCAGCCTCCATCCGTGGTCAGCTACTGTGTATGGGATCCTCAGTCTTGGGTGCGGGGGCCGATCCTCGAGCCGTAGGGAGAGAGGGTGTCCCGCACTAGATTCTGTGAGCTTTCTCTCTCTCCCCTGAAGCTCTCCTGACCCTTTATGCCCTCCTGGGCGGGGCGAACAATACATCATGAACCGAGGTTCGTGCCACTCCCCAGGCAAGCAACGTCATAGCCAGCAGCAATTCGGCTTTGTTCTGGCTTCCTCCCCACGGGGCAAAAGGTTGAATAATTAGATTGTTCTTTTTTGAGTGAATTAGGAGGGCTTGAGGGTTGAGATTTTGAGCTACAGTAGTCTGGATGAATAAAGACATTACATTGAGAAAAATGTGGAACAATGATGTCAATTAATCAGGGAATTTATAACGTCGTCTAGTTTACGATGTTGAAGTTCGAGGGATGATATGTTTCCTAACATCTGAGTTGGTCGCTACCACGTCTTGTACTGCACCCGCTATTTCCAACTGTGGAACCCATTTTTCGGTGTCCTTGTGCTGACTCCATAATTTAGTTTTAAGTGGCGTCGTTGGTGATGGTGCAGCTAAAGTCTGAATAGAAGTTGGATTTAGCTAGTAGACACCCCGTGGCGCTCTCACTCTTACGTTTGACGAGGTTCTAAGGTATCGGCTTGCGTTTCCGTTTGCGTTTGTCATTGATTTTTTTGTTTTTTGGTTTTTTTGTTTTCGTTTCATTATTTTTATTTTGTAACCTTGTTTGCTTTTCACTATTATGCTACTTCTGTATGACAAAGTTATCATATTGATGATTTATTGAATATCATGCTCAATCGTCCAATGGGTTACCAAATCGATCAATTTCAATTTAAATGTTGGGTATACAAGTTGTTAATGACATAGAGTGACAGTGATAGAGTGACATAACTAAAGGACGCTCATTGAAATTAGAAAAGACTACTATCGAGTGAGCAATTACGGTTGGGTAGCAAAGTTAAATTGATATTGAATTGACAACCACTTGAAGGAACAATTACAATTGAAGAGCGAAGTACAATTGAAAAGATAATATAAGATATTGCATATAATATTACTTTGGAAGTTTGAATGGGCAAAAAGCCCAGGCAATGGTTTTACAATAAAGACAGGTCGATGAAGCTGGGCATGATGTTGCGAGATGTGTCGCCTTGAGGAGACACCGCTCGCAACGATCACGCTCAAATAAGCAACGTCGCCTATCACGTAGGTTATAGAAGCGCCCGCAATTGCAGGCGTATTGATCGCCGTCGCAGAACGCTTGGTGACGGGTACTGCGATGGCCCAGCTCGGACCCGGCTGCATGGCGTGAGCATAGGGGTCGTCTTGACTTATGACTTCAGCTTGAATTTCATTGAGAGTCTGTTTTTGAAGGTTGTAGACTCTCAGAAGACCGTCCATCGCTTCCTCCATGAGATGCTTGATTGATTGTGCGCAGTGTTCAACCACGTGCATTTCACGCTGGAAATGTTGACTAGAGTTATGTAAAAATGGTTGACTACCGTTTAACCAAAATTTGAATAAATACGGAAACAGTACCTCATCAATTTTGCGTTTTTTNTTTTTTCAGTGGTTGTTGTGAAGTTTTTCCCATTAGAGGGGTTTTAACCTCCCGTGAATATTAATATTTTTCCTTTTTCGGGAATGTCCTCTTTTTCTTAAAGAGTGTTATTAAACGCACAAAAGTCATTTTTAAACTTGAGATTGTTTGTTGCAAAATTGATAGGTTCGAATCAAAAAGGAGGTGAAGAAAGAAAAAAATCAGAATAAAGCACTTGAAAAGATTGATATTGGAACAAGAAATTTAATTGAATATTAGGGTACTTACGTAGATCATATCTATCCTATTCTTCATTAACTTATAGCGTCTTTGCGACCCAAGATTTTTTGAATTTTGGCGTGCATTAGGGAAACGTCTTCTTCTTCGGGTAGCTGACGTCGAATTCCCTCGAAGTTGAACGCTGGTTGCCCGTGGTCGTGCCCTTGTTATTGTTGTTGTTGAAATCCTTGTTGTAGTTGCTGAAGTCCTTGTTGTTGTTCTTATTCTTCTTCTTGTTGTTCTTGCTGTTGATTGACATTATTGTTGTCGGGCTCGGCAGGTACGCCTGGGACTTCTTCTTCGACAACATTTTGTTCCTCATCCGCCACTGCTGAAATTTGACTTTCTAACACTACTGTTACGGGATACTTTTAGTCGATAAATACGGTAACCGCGGAGGATTACGTTATTAGTAGTAAAAGTTTATGCATTAAGAACTTTCAAGCGTGAAGGGGAGACGTATGATACAAGAAATTAGAAAGAAGATTTATTTGAAAAGGAGAGTTAAGAGTGAGAAGCCGAGTAGCATCGGGAATGGTATGGGGAATGTCGATGTTGAGGATGGAGAACCTGGCGTTGATGTTTTTATGTTACTTGAGCATAGATACGCTATGCTGATAGCCATGAGAAATGGCATGGTGATGAGAACTGTAGCGGTGAACAAGAAGAGGTCTTGCATATTGCAAGAAAATGGTTAAAGTCTTGAAATTTCCATGATATATCAAAGATGTAGTCATCTTGAGTAATATTGGTCTATTGTTTTGTGTAATTCGATAAGGGTCTTAATCGTTGATTGAGGGTACCCTTGATTTCGAATATCGTTATTTGAGACCCGCATTGGGCTTGACATTGTTCTTTGACGCGCGCGCTGTTAAAGAATAGACGTATTTGGTTTGTTTCCCCCTGTCTTGTGCATGTGTGTACGAACTGTTGCGTTCCACACGTCACCTGTGCTATTGCGTGCGGCATATCTGCCGCGCTGACTGATCTGACTTCTCCTGTGAATACTCTCTGCGCGTCGTGAGTATAAGTTTGTTCGATTTTGTGTTTGACAGTTTCATGCCATGTGTGGCAATGAAATACTTCGTAGATCTCCTCGTCTTTCGGGGTGTGATAAACTCGATAGAAAAGGCATCCAGAGGACGAAAAGCCGCATGAGCATCTCCATCCACCACACGACTCTGTACAGTAGGTTATTCCGGGGAAGTTGCTAGCAACGTCGAGTTCCTCAACCAAAGTGTCGATTGAAATTGCTGCGCATTTTGGTCCAATGCGAGAACCCATATGTGGACATCGTTTGCGGGACTGCACGCGTGTTCCGGTATTTTGAGTAAAGTAAAGTGTCTCTCTTTGACATTTATGTATAAGCTTTTCCACAGTTATTTTCATGAAATGTCGAAGATTCTTGTGATCTGCTTGTAAACATAGTTCGCTTTGCATGGTACTGAACTTAGCTATTATTGTGGTGAAGTTATCGCAGTTATGATTTTTTTTGAGTTACATTGGCTTATGCTTGAAGGGACAAGGATCGCTTGTTGGCATACGTGAAGTTGTTGGGAGACGGCGCAGATGGCTAAAGGTCGGATGAATGTCGAAGTTCTCCACTTCCTGTTACTTTCGTTATTGATTAGAATCAAGGGAATAGATTGTGTCGATGAGATGCGTCGGGGTCTTCGTCGAAAAGGGCAGAAATTCTTTGCTGCGGTGAAGATGGTTCTAATTCCTTCATAAATTTTCCTCGCGGCTTGACATAATAAATATGTTGTTATGAGAGTTATGTAGGATACGCAAGGGCTAGCACAATTACTAGTCGAGGCCAGCATTCTAGATTGGTTATCATTTGGGAGCAGAGAGTGCACTGAATCTGCTCACAAAAGGGGCTCGGCGAACATGCCCTATGCAAGGCAAACAGTGTTTTGACTAATACGTGATAAGAATAAAGAGTTTGTCATGCTTCATGGGCTACTAGAATCAAACTCCTTTTCCACCATTTCGTCTTGGATTTTCTTTGAAAACGTCTCCAAGAACATAGTTCTCATGTTCGTGGTATTGACAATCTCTCCTTGTTTTTCCAGGGTGGCTATGATGGCCTGGATGTGATTGAGATTGTTCCCTAAAGAGCGATAGTCATCTGGGCATTGTTTCATTGATTTCAGTTTCCTAATCATCTGCATGTTTATTCGCCTTGGGTCCTGATACTGGCCTTTTAATTGCGCAATCGCCAGTTCGAGGGATCATCTGGAGTGTTCTTGCTGCGTCTCCTTTGCAGCAGTTAATGAGAGTTGACTTTTCGATGTTTGAATATGGTTGCTTGTGTACCAATTCTTCAAATAATTCCCAAAACGAGTAAAACGTCGAGAGGTTACCATAAAAGTTAAGTACTCGAAGTTTATTTCCGAGTAGCCTATGTTCCAGCATCCTAACGTTGCCTGGTAAATTTGATGGTCAAGGATTTGTGGAGACTAGAATTGACTTTAACTACCTTGCTGTGGTTCTCTTCTGAATCCTGTTTGGCTCTTGTTTCTGGGCATAAAGGTTCTACTAGCCTTCTTCCTAGTTTGCGCTTCAAGTCTCCTGCTTGACTTAGTAGCTCTTCTCCTCTTTTACCCTGCCAGTACTCATCGAACTGCTGTTCGATGTCTGCTTTGACTTCTTCTTCGAGAAGGTCGTTGACGGACTTATTACATTCGGCATAGTAGTCGGTGATGTCGTTCTTCCGCTGCTCTAGTTGAGACATCAGATTTTGACGACTATTTCTTTTGAAACAAGGAACATTTCTAACTTTTGAGCTTGGGAGGAGAAGCGCCATGGTTCCCCCAACTCTGGAGCTTCCAACTCTTTCTAACTTTTGAGCTTGGGTGGGGAAGCGCCATGATTCCTCCAACTCTTGAGCTTCGAAGAGTAAACCGTTTAATGCGTTGAGTTGTCTAGTGAGCTTTTGTTTGACATATTTCAGGAGGATTGGTTGCAGCGACATGCTGTTTTGGATGTCTTCTTGTCAACGCGTTGAGTAGTGGACCTCTTTGAGGGAGGCTCGCTGTCGTTCAAGATTGACAGTGCAAGGACAGAGCTTATCGCAAGGTTTATATCCCGTCGATGTTACCTATTAGCATCGGAATGAAGATTCCTTGTAAATCGTTATGAGAGTTTGTAGCGAGACAATGACGATGTACAGTAGCGCTCAAAAGTCTTCGGTGAAATGGTTCTTCAGCCGTACTTTNATCAACAACTTTAGTTTTAGCAAAATCTGCTACCGCAACAAGCACCTTACTCTATCTGTGGATATTGCAGCTCCGCAGTCAAATAGTGTTGGGTAGGGTGAAATATGCTCTAGTTAAACATATCCAAGTTTCGCGCGGTTTGGTCTACTAAGAAAAAAGTTATGAACGAAAAATCGTCGAACCATTCCACCGAAGAATTTTGAGCGCTACCGTACGTGTGAACGTTATGAGAATTGTAGAGTTCTCCTTTTGTTTTGAAATCACTAGGTTCGGAATTCCCATGAAAAATGTTTTGAAAAATGCATTTCGCATTACATCTCTGAGGTGTTGGGAGAAACATGGAAAGGTAAAAAATTATTTTCTTAAGCATCGTGATATTTGTTTTTTACAGTAACAATTTTTTTCTCATCGTGGATATGATTTTATGGAGGAAATTTTTACGATTATTATTTTTGGTTTTTTAGAATCTTGAAAACAAGTTTTAACTGAACTAAAATTGTTGGCTTGAGCAGCTCTTGTTAAGGAGCTTCGCCAACGGCTTGTGTTACGTTGAATAGCGTTCTGATAAGAATTTAAAAACTTGTAAGTACTTACATCAGCTGGAGCTCTTTTTTTTCTGTGGATCCACTCTTAAGTTGGTACGACTGTCGGTCGTCCACCGGGCTTTCTGTTGAGTAATTTTCTCATGCTTTACTTGCTAATAATTAGTCGCGCGACGGTTTCATGTTAAGAACAGACTATCGGTCTGTCACCGGGTTTCTGATCAGTCGTCCTTCTAGTCGTCGTTATGCTATTGGCCATGAAGTGAACACTTGATTTTGTCCTATTGGCGTGGCGCTAAAGATGTTGGCAATCTAGAAAGGATGTAGAAATGCTGTCGTAGCTTGAAGCCGACGGACTCTTCTTTAGTATGCCTTGAGGCGGATGCGCTCCATGGGCCCTAAGGGCGCACTCTTCGTTAATTAGTGTATTGCTGGTTTGGAAGAGTCTGTGGTTGTCGTGTTGGCTTAGATGGGTTGGGACCTTCTATTAATATTGTTTTGGATTCGATTTTTATACAGACACTTAGATATCGGATATCGGCAGTGGGTAGTGCCCGAGTAGAATCCTGCTCGATGTACCATGTTGCCATATTATTGAAAATCCGGCCGATGCACCATGTTTTTTAGCATCACTCCCAAATGTAGGGTGGTGGTTCTGCGGAGAAGCTTTACACCTTGTGTCATACAACTTTTTTATTCCCTCGGTTACTGACAATATAAAGTCTGACAATAAACAACATTGCGTGAGTGTGACAATACAACATTGCTAGAGTCATTTTACATCACATCGTCATTAAGGCTACCAGGNTACCTGAGTCTTGTTGAACTTGAATCTTGTTGATCGTTGAGCTGACTTTGAGTATCCGTACCTTTCGCTCACCTACGTCTTCGTGGGTCCACCGGCATATGAGACTGGCAGCCAGACCTTCCCCGGCTCAGCCTCCGTCCGTGGTCAGCTAATGTGTATGGGATCCTCAGTCTTGGCTGCGGGGGCCGATCCTCGAGCATCCCGAGGTTCATGAAAAACACAGAGTGATGATTGCGGTGATTTGGAGCAGTGGTACGCCTCCAAATTAAGGAGTACGGAGAGTGAGCAAAGAGTAGTGACGTGTGACGCAAAAGTTGAGGTCATGAGCATCCGTGCATGTGGTGATATCTTCGAACATATTACCAAAGACGTAGATGAGGGTCTCATCACCTTTTTTGTGGAAAGGCAGGCTTTTTAGCTACATGGAGATCGAGACACACTCAAGAGTCCATCCCAGCTATAGATATTTATGCGCAAATCGTAGAACGTCATCTGCACAGCAACGCCTTTGTACGATTAGAAAGTGATTTCTCGAGTTAGCAGTCCAACACGAAGAGATTCTTCGGCTCGCATTTCGGAGAAATCGTGATAGGGAATTCCCGTTCATTGACGAGATATATCTACAGTAAAAAAGGTTCTATCAATCAAAACGACATCATTCATGCGAGGATGAAGGAAGATGAAATGATACGGTCCAAGGCTCACCCACTTTCTTTGATGGTACCTGCAGACATAACATCTGGAGTTCCCGACTCCACAGCTCTCGATCAGTTGCCACTTAGGAGCCTGATCCGAATTTCGGAAATCTCTCAGTGTTGTCAAACTTGGAAATAATGGCATTCATTAGCTCCAACAAGAACTGAAATAATCTCAAAAATGAAGATGGGATAGACTGCTTGATCCTGGCTCTGTGCCACGCTTTCTCTCGCCGTCTCGGAGCGTCGACGCCCTCTATCGTCGTCTCGGGACTCGAGTGAAAGCAGTAAGCAATATCTCTCAGTTTCAATGTACTATTCCAGTAAGAGATTAGTGGTGAACCTTCTATTGAAATCGGCTTGTTTCATTAGCTTTCTATTCGGACCTGATATTTGTGTCATCATAATTCCGACCCACTCTGTACAGTAAATTGAAAATGCGCCTCAATACTAAACCATCCCAAAGCATGATGCAGTTGTCGCAAGAAGTATTGAAAGTAAGAAAGGTACTGAAGCTCATGGGTGACCACTTGTTCAATTTGTCTCATTTCAAAGGCAAACATAGGGTCGAAATTGCGTGATCTCGAAATGGCTTATTCGAGGACACTTTAGCAAAACCCTTCTATATCGGGAGTGAAAAGCTCGCAAGAGGTATATGGAGTTAAAGCTGAAGAGGACCCAAAGAACGCACGGCTTCAATGCAATAATCAACAAAAGCACCAGGTAATTATTACATTTCATAGTGTACTGTTAAAAACTTACTCCCTTGTATGAGATTCTGCTGCTAGATAAAATGGGTATACGTTGACAGATGATTTTTTCTATACCTCATCGGAACAGGGTCACTCGCGCGTGATCAGCTAGTGACAATCGTGTCAAGTCCCCTCATCTTCAGATCATGGGCTCGGCATCACGCGAAGGGGTTGCAGTGAGCACAACGACCCGGTCTCGATGAGGTCATAAGAACGACGAAACTTAACAACTTATAACCAGACACACTGCACCCGGAAAAACCATTTGTATGTGCTAGTTCATAAACTTCATATCATATTCTACAGAAAACCAAAATACCATATGGTAATCAAGCCACCGCTGCACAGCTGCCAATTGCAATGGTGAGCGATCTCTAATTCCTCGAGACTGAGGCAGCAATTTTTGTGCATTATAGCCGACTTCATGCTTCCCGGTTTCTACGACACATTTCCCTGCTGTTCAGCTATTCACAGCACCGGCGGTTACGAGGGCCCGAAAGGTATTACGTTCTGTGCGATTTACTCCGAGCGAATTTTGAAGAAACGTCTAATTTCGGTCGCGTTTCTAATGTTTTGGTATCTACAGTTGATAATGATCAGAGCGAGATGTGATAACTAGGAGCGCCTTTGTTTACTCGCTAACGCGCACGGTATAATCCTCTCAAACTATTTTGAAAGACCTTCCATGCTTGCCTAATGAGTTTTCTGCTTGTTTTCCAAGTAGAATATAGGGATTTTATTCGCCTAGCCCCTCGGATATTCGGGCGCAATTGCTGCGTCTCAAAGGCGAAGTTCACGTTAATTTTGGGTAATCTAGATTATGACGAAAAATGAAAGATAAGATGGAAAATAGTGCGCTGAGGGCGAAAAAACTGCGTGAATCGGTGTTTCCAAAGTGAAAAAGGCTTCGAAAATGGGTTAAA